AGGGCAGGCTCAGGTTGGATCTCAGCAAAAGGTTCTTCCCCCAGAGGGTGGTTGGGCACTGACCAGGCTCCCCAGGGCAGTGGGCACAGCCCCAAGGCTGCCAGAGCTCCAGGAGGGTTTGGACAACGCTCTGAGGGACAGGATGGGATTGTTGGGGTGTCTGTGCAGGGCCAGGGGTTGGACTGGATGATCCTGTGGGTCCCTTCCCACTCAGGATATTCTGGGATTCTGTGGCACGGGGACAAACGTTCCCGGTGGGGGTGCGGCGGCCCCGGGGCTCCCCCAGCCCGCTCCCGGCGGGACACGGGGGGAACAGAAGTCGCTCGGGGCCGACCCTGATCCCGGTCCCGGCGGGTCTCCCCCCGCACCTGCGAGTGCTCAAAGTAGTTTAAAACCGGCCTCAGAACTTGTTCATGGCCACAGCCGATTCAGGGCACTTTCAAGCTGCCCTTCCGAGCCGAGTTTAACCCGGAGCTGTCCCGCGCTCACCTGGAACAGCTGTAAAAAGGCTTTGGGTGTTGTTATTACTTTATAAAAAGGAACTCGAAAATACCTGAGTTAAAGAAATAAATGAAAATCATTCCTGATAGTCACGGTCTGGAGAAGAAGGATGGATATACATAAAATAAACAATAAATGTTAAATACTTTGTTTAAAATAGATAATTCACCACAAATAGTTTTTTCACTCTTCTTAACGACCCGTTGATTCGAACCAGCAGGAGCAGATTAAAGCTCACCTGCCTGAGCTTCTGCCTGACACAAGAGTTCTGCAGGTGTAACAAGCAAATATTGCTGCTTAAAAGATGAAGATATTTAAGCAATTCATCTTGAGCTTCAATACAGAAAAGTAGCTGCACGTTTTCAATGATCTGATTCAACGGAAAAAGTTCTCACTCTGTGCTCAGTGGCAGCTTTCCTTATTGTGATTTTAATCTCACTTAGGCATCTTTTTTTGCAATTTACTTGTCTTGGCAATAAATTAAGATTAGCATCTATTGTAAAGGCTGAATGGAGTTAGTTTGGACTTACCTCATGGTCACAAATCTCTCACACAAACAGGCACTTACCCAAATTACGTACATGGAGTGAGAAAGAGAATTTAGGCCAAAAGATTTCCAGCCAGAGCAGTGTTCTTACCATGAGTGTCCTTCCTCTGACAAATCCAACCTGTCATCCATCCCAACCCCTCACTGCTACACCGACCAGGAATTCTGTCCCACAAGGACTGGGCCTGCACCGAGAGGAGCAGCGTTTCCAAACACAAATTACCCGTTACCATCGCGAGTTACTCAGCCAAAGTGAAATCCCTTGTTACATCCTGGCACCGGGAATCGGGGAAGCACTTTGGGCTACATTACTCCCCTTCCTTTTGGCACCGGTCTTGTAAACAGAGAACACAATCTGACACTTGTAAATATGTCAAGCAGCATGTATTAACCAACCCCAAACCACATCCTTCCGCGTTAAAATAGTGCAGCTCTTTGTAACTCCACTGCAGCCCCGGCCCCCCTGGCCCATCTCTGCACGGGGCCCAGGGCACAGCCAACCCTTTGATGGAGGGGCCATTCTATTTCTGGAATAAAAGAACATCCCTTACCAGGAAAGAAATTATTTTCTTATTATAGAAGCGTTTCGGGGTTGAGAATCGCGGCGTTACTTATCCAGGGAAATGCTGTGCATGATTAGACACCGCAGAATTCCTGGTTTTTCCACGTGCTGCTCACCCTCCAAATGGTGTTTCCAGTCAGCACAATTCCTCTTCTGGACCTTCCAAGTAGAGAAGAGTTACTCTGCTTGATTTTCTCGGGAAAATGTGGGATTCTAACACAGGATTCAGATTCATTTTCAGGAGGAGAAATGTTAATATACCCACACTGTGCTTCTTAGGCCATTTTTCTGTAGTCTTGTGAATGTTAACTACTTTGTAAACTAAAAATTGTAGAATCATGGAATGGTTTGGGTTGGAAGGGACAGTAAAGCTCATCCAGTCTCAACACCTGCCATGGGCAGGGACACCTCCCACCAGCCCAGGTTGCTCCAAACCCGATCCAGCCTGGCCTTGGACACTTCCAGGGATCCAGGGGCAGCCACAGCTTCTCTGGGCAACCTGGGCCAGGGCCTCCCCACCCTCCCCATAAACAATTTCCTCTTACCATCTAATCTCAACCTCCCCTGTTTTAACTTAAAAATCATTTACTATAACTAAATTCCCTGTATTATGTCAATGTTCTGAAGTTGAACAGTTGTTGCTTGCGTTTTGGAAATGCTGCTGGTCACACATTTTGACCACATCCCTGCACTGCCAGCTCCATTTTGGTTTTAAACTGAAAAAAGATAACATCTCTTTAAGCACTTTGCCAGGTGCTTGACTTGATATTACATTGTTATCACAGGCAAGGGAAATCATTACAGTCTAATCCTTCACTTCCCAGGACCAAACTGGGAAAGTTTTCCCTTGCTGTCTTCTGACAACTGTGCTGCTTCAAGCAGAAATTGTTCCCCTTGCAGATATCACAGGAGTGACACTTCCTCATGCACAATTATCCAAGGTGGTATGTGGAGGAACGTGTTTCCCAGCTCAGGGCATTCGAGTTTTATTCCCTGTTTTCTTCTCCTCCTTTTCAGAAATCAGTCAGTGACCATGAACAGCAACACTGGGGTTTCTACTTTAGCAAAATAACCATTTTTGCACAGTGGGAAGATACAGGAATGTCTTCACTAATCCTGTCACTGTGGTAATTTGCAGTCCCCAGGCCCCTGGAGATCAGCTGGGTCCCACCTCACCCTCACCACACAGAGCTGACGAGCAGCAGGGAAGGAGCCCTGACAAAATTAGCCCAAACAGGGATAGCCCAGCTTATTTAACTCTGGGACAACTCACCCAGAGCTCCCAGTGATGACCAAACCTGTTCTTCCAGGAGGATGGCTCAGCAGGCTTTGTTTCCACCAGCAGGTGCTGCTTATGCTTCGAACTGAACGTGGGGGAAGAGCCAGAGGTGCCGGGAGGGCACAGCAGAGCTGCAGCGGGGCTTTATTTGCTCCATTTTGCCCCAAGGCACGAGCACTCTGCAGCACATCCAAGTTTTTCCTGGAGGAACACGAGATTCAAACAGGGCTCTCCCGATCCTGAGCATGGAGAGTTGGGCCCTTCTCACACCGGGAGCAGAACTGGAGCTCAGCCAAGTCCTGTCAGAGTCCAAAAGCAGCAGTGTTTGACATTCCATGTCTAAGGCAGCCCCTTCCTGGGGAAAACATGCTTTTCCATGCCTTTGAGTTAGACATTCTGGTTACTCACTAGCACAAATTCCAGCTGTTGCAGTATAAATAATTATTGTCTTGTATTTAAGTGTCATTTCTCCTGTTTTCTGTATTTCCAGTTGCCTGCAACACCCAGAAATGGAAAGGACAGGATGGGGAGAGTATGAAACCCAAACTGTGAACATAAAGCAAGAAGATGGTCTCTAACTCTTCTACAGATCAAAAAGCAAAAAAATAAAATAATCTTGTTTCCCTCCTGCTCTCGAGTTGCTCTTAAATTGTACTCAAGTGAGCAAGTTCATTGACAATTATTAAAACTCAAAGAATTTTAGTTCTTGGACCACGATTTATGTAGGTTTTTTATGATACAAAGCCTCATTTCAGGTATGTTCCCACTGGCCTCACTGTCCACTTTTTATGAGATTACACTAATTTTTAAGTGTTTTTTAATTAATCCAGTACTTTCTTTTTTTTTTCCTGCTAAGTATTTATAAATAAGAACTCTAAATTATTTCGGTTTCAAACCAAAAACTTTTACTTCCACAAACTGAAGACCTAAGAGGGGAAAAAAACCCCAAAACAACTAAACTAGTTTTCTGGCTTAATTAACAACATCTAATTTTAACATAAAAATAGTAAAAAAATTTCACACATCAAACCCATACTCAATAGCTCTTTTTTAAAAAACACTGATAATCTCCAGATTGCTTGTAAACCAACATATTAATTTTAATTTTATTAAGGCACAGGAGTGGCTGCATTAGCAGGTTTATTTTTTCCTAGTAAAGATAAAAAATTATTTGAGTTTTCAAACAATATGTTGATTTTCTGAAGGAATGGGCAGTTCAAAGAGGAAATTAAATACCTCAGTAAAGGGTTTGTTTGTAGAGCAGTTTGTCCACATAGTTCAAGCCCTGCCAGGGATCAGAGTGTGGTGTGTGGATCAGCCATCCCTGCTCCCATGATTCTCCAGAAATATCCAGGGGGAATCCACATGGTCTGTTTACAACCATCTCTACTGTGGGAGTAGCTGTAGAAACCAAGGATATTTTGAATATTATTATAATAATAATATAATAAATAATAGAGTACACAGTGCACAAAGGCAGGTCAAAGCCAGCCCGTGTGACCCCAAACCTCAGAGATTTCCCAGTGTTCCCAGTGGGCAGGGATGTTGTCCTGGGACAGTTTGCTGGGATCTCCTTTTCCAGGATAAAGGAAAGCCATGGCCAGCAGTGGTTGTGCTGCAGGGGGTTCCTAAAGGCCTACCACAAATAAATACCTCCAGTCACCTCAGTCTGTTGATGATTTACATGGAAATGCTTCCCACGGGGCACAACTGCTCAGGACTGGGATTGGGATTGGGATTGGGATTGGGACTGGGGGGCTCAGGAAAGCACACCCAGGGCAGAGGCCAACGTTTCCACGCCCCTCCTGAGGGTTACACATGTGGGAAGTCCCTGAAAATGATATTATTTGCCTGAATATTGTACTAAGAGTCCCTATAAAGGAGCAGTTTGAGGGAAGATTAATGACCTGGAAAACCAATTTGGGGGAAGTTCTTCCACCTACAAGATAATGTTGAAAGGAATCTGCAAACTGCTGCAGAGGACTCGGATTAACCCAGGGTCATGTCATTAGGAAAGGGAAAAGTGGAGTTAATAGTGGAGTCACAACGACAAGAAGGAGACTTTTAAGCTGACTCTGGTGGAGCAAACGTGCTCCTGTATTCTTATCAAAAACCAGACAAACTATCTTGTTCTCTGGATTGTAAAAGATAGAAGGGAGGCAGGAAAGAAAGCAGTGGCAGGGAAGAGGAGATAGACAATGTTTTAATGTCTAGGAAGAGAAAAGATCCTCTCTCCCTGTTCTGGATGGAGGAGCAGGAGCTGAGTGAGAGTGGTGAGGAGTGGGATGAACAGAGGGATGAGTAGGGAGAGAAAGGAAGGAGCCAAATGTGCCCAACTCGTTACAAAGAGCAATCCCAGGGTGCCTTTGCTAGTGAGGGAAGCATGAGGGAGCCAGGAAAAAAGACTGGCAAAACTGGGCTGTGTGAAGTTTAAATTGCCAGCAAGGAATTGGAGAAAAGGCAAGGAACATCTCTGGAAACGTGGCTTTGGATGGAAGGAGCGGAGGAAAGAGCTCAGGAGCAGAGTAGATTGGTTCCTTCCCTCCACCACGGTGATATTTAGATGACATTTCAGGTATAACTGGCAGGGACGAGGCAAGGAGCAAAATGCAAACTGTTACTTTAAAGCATATGCAATGCTAAAAAATAGAAGTTGTTGAAAACAGTGATAAGATTAAAAACTCGAGCTGCAGGCAGTCCCACGTACGGCGACCCATTTGACTGTCAAATCACCATCCTTGTGAACGAGTTTTCACTTGTCTTTTTTTTTTTTTTTAAGGAAAGAATGAGAATGGTCTGGGTGTCACAGAGGACTTTGGGAACTTCAGTGTAAGGGGGATGAGTCTCAGTAGAGAGAACTGGCCAGAAAGGGCCTGCAAGGAAGGCAGAGGAAGGGGTTTGTGGGTGGAAATGAGGAGCAGTTTTGTGCCCCAGCTCGTCCTGTTGGTTTCTGTGAGACACCACTGCAAATTCTCACCTCAGTGTCCTGCAGAACCAAAGCAAATGAGCTGCCTGGAAAAACAGAAAGAAGCAAACGACAACTGAAACTACTCAGGAATAAAAGGGGAGCGTGGTTTAGGCAGAGCAAAATGGCAAATACTTTTTTAATTGTAAATCATTTTTGTGCTCAAAGGAGGAAAGGATTGTGATGTTGGCGAGATACCCCGAAATACGAATAAACATACCTGAGTTTCTGAAGGATTTAATAATCTCACATGAAGCTCCCACCAGCCCTCCAGGCAGGGGATGGGCCTGTTGGGTCATGGTTTCATACCATCAAAGAGAGAGATTTCATCTTTCAGATGTTGTTGTGCTCGCTTGGTAAGAATTCAGCTTATTAAAAGGTGCTAAATAAGATGCGGGATAAAAATACTACAGGAGAAAAAAAAAAAAAACAAAATGAAAAGATTTCAGGGTAAAAGGCAAAGCAAATATGGAAATAACATTTGGTGAAGACATTCTGAGAACAAAACTCCAAGTTTACTTGCTGGAATGGGTTGCAGGGTAGCTCTGGATGGGTGATGCAGCTTGGAATGAGCCAGTCAGGCAACATGTGGAATGTGCAGCTTTTGGCACGGGAGCTCAAATATTCAAATTGGCCCATAAATCCCAGTACAGTTTTCAGTGTTTAAGAATCTTATTTTATCTGGATTAAAATCCTCTTCCCCCTTGGCACTGGAAGGTGTTTATAGCTGCAAAAACAAGAATTGCAAAATATTGCCCTGAAATCTATAAGGACTTCTCCTGCCAAACTTACAGGGTTTACTCTGCAGCTTAAAATTAAAACATAAAAAAACACCCCCAACCTGGCAGGGACAGTGTGGCCTTTGTAGACAAAGTGCAGGAAAAGACAGGGAAAATTAAGTAGATAATTCCAAATATTTTTTTTTTTTTGTAATTTAAAAAATCATTTTATTTTCCTGTGGCAGGAAAAGATAAGGTAAAATTTTTCTTTTAAGTTCTAAGAAATCTTTGGGATTTTTTTTTTTTTTAAATCATGCTCAAGTTCTGTACCAAAAAAAAAAAGATTAATAAAAGCCACAGCTCAGGTGTGTGATCACTGACCACATCAGAGCCTGGACTAACACAGCTCTTTACCTTCTGTTACCTTCCAGCTCTTCCTCCTTCAAATATTCACAGGTGGAAACAGCTCCCACAGCCTGAAAAGATGGGACAAACCCTTTCTAGACAACAGCTCTGGGACTTCAGGCCTTTAGCAAGTACTGTGCAGGTTCTCTGCAAGGGATAATTTTAATATTTCATGGCACACACCCCCCACCATTCACCTTCAGGTCCTTACAGACACCACTGAACTTGAACTGACCAATTTTCCTCTCTGGATTTACTCTTCTTGCCATGAAAATCAGATCTTATTGTTGTGCCCCCACATTTTGTGCATCAAGTTGTGTTGTAAAGGGACTTGAGAACAGGACACTGAGCAGGTCCTGGACCTGCTGCATCCTGAACTGCACCAGTATTTATGGGATGCACAGCAAAGAGTCTCAGGCAGATGTCATTGCCTCGGACTTCACCATTTAAAGAGGGATTGAGGTTCACACTCATTCCCTTAAAAATACCTCCCCTGAAGACCAAAGCAGCTGCCCAGCCTGAGGTGTGCTGGCCAGAGGGCAGAGGTGATGCCAGTGCATTCCCCCTACATTTCCATATGTGGAATAATTACTATATTATTCCCAGTTTATGCCTGTTCTTGCTTCTGTCTTTGCCTCCCCCCGCCCTGCTCTGAACTGGGGTTGTGGAGGCTCATCAGTAACAACGGGATTGAATAAGAAATGTCCTGATTTACATTCTGTTTCCACTCTGACCTCATTAAGGCCCTTTTGTTGTGGAACCTCGGAATCAGGACTCCCCTTCGGCCACAGAGCTGTCAGGTTCACTCACAGCTCAGCTCTGAGAGCTGGAAATCAAAGCAGAGCCTCGGCCAGGGCTCAGCTCTGCCTTCAGAACATCCAGGAGCCGGGTTCTGGGGCAAACAAAACACACAAAAGGTGAAGCTCGCCCTGGTAAAGATCCAACCATTAAAATAATTCACTGGAGATCTTTGATGTTCGTTTCCCTCAGCTGTGAGCGCTCAGTGATCCATCAACTGCAGATAAATGTTGTGCTGAAAGCTCTCCCTGAAAATTAGAAGGAATAAAGGAATTAGAGACATAAGACTTCCATGGATGCCCTGTGTTGACATCCCTGTTTCCAAGCCCCATTTAATGAAACAACCCCTTTCTCTGAAATTTTAAGGTTTCACAAGCCCTAATTTAAAATGGAATTAACAGAGCAAATCCTATTTTGCCAGCACTCCTTCTCCCAAAAATTTAAAATATTTGCCTTATAAGAAATTATACTCACATATAATAAAATATTTCAGCTGCTTTTAATTTAATCAACTGCTTTCTTGATCACCCAAGGAACTGGCCATGCTTTGAAATGTTTGTTTAAAGGGAACCTATCTTTCAGCTCAGAGATATCTGCTCAGCCTTCTGTTCCCCTGCAGCCCAGTGAATGTTGCTTTTTGGGATTTTTCTGACACTCATTTCAGGAAGAAGCTGAAATGCTTGTCTTTGCTTGACACATGAAGAAAGGAATTACACAGGGATATTTATTTTTTTCCCCTGTGGAGCCTGAAGCCTCTTGGTCTCATCTGAGACATAAAATGCCCACACACCAACTCTGCTGAGGGCTTTTGTTGAGAATCTTTGGGCTTTTATGCAGAAGAAAAATTACAATTCTGAACAGATTTGCAAAGCAAGATGGAAAGAGTAACACTGGCCTGGCCACAGGGTGTTCCCTGCTCCAAACCACTGAGTGTCCCTGCCTCCCACCCGGTCCAAGAGGGGATAATCTGATATTTCCTCAAGTCACAGGTGATCCTGCTCCAGTCCAACCAGAGGTGACCTTCAGTTTTCTGGCACACGGACCTAAAATGGGCAAAGATCAATTTATGCTGAGTTAAACAAACCCTTCCCCTCATATCAGAAAACAGGTAGTGTTTGTACTTGTTGATTCAGGGCTCAATGGACATAAACTTACCCTGAAATAGAGGTGGTTTTTTCAGTTAGAGGAAAAGTGAGTGCTGCTGACAGAGTGTCTTTTTTAAATGACTGACAAAGCTACAATCCCAACACTTTATATTCTGTTCTGGAACTTCAGGATAACACAGTATTTTGACAAAACACAGTTGGTGTTCCAAATCGGTATTTGGAATATGTTTGTGTAAAACCTAAACTAAAATCATAGATGTAAAGTTTGAGTAAAACCAGAAACTCAGGGGCAGTAATTCTACTAAATCTCTAATTTGGTCTTAATATCAAGCCAGTGTGGTGAATGCAGGCAAAGCATTGATTTGTTGTTGTTTTTTATGTTGTAAATATACAAAATAGTTACTAAGATTTGGCTGGATCAGACCTCTGAGTTGCAGGATGAGCACATTCCCATTCTGTTGGAGTTCTTTGGGACTGGAGTGTCACACCCACACCCCCCTGTGGTACCTCCAGAGGGGACTCTCCCCATCTGCAACACTCCAGCCCCAGAAGCTGCAGCTCACAGGCTCAGCCAGGAGGTTTTACTTTAATATATATATAAGGCTCTTTAATGCCTCAAGAGAGCACCAAGAGGATAACCCATGGGCTTGTTCCTGAGGGGTTTCTTGATTAATTTAGGGGAGAAAATAAGGGAACTTGACCAAAGTTCAAAAAGGGCACTACACAACCTAGACAAAATGTTCCACTGCGATACCAACCGAGCACATGTTGATCCACAACACTTGGGATCCAATCTATCCACAACACTCAAGTCAAAATCCAATCTTTCCAGCTCCAAGCCACCCAAAGCATCCAGAAAGGAGCAGAGAAAGAGAAGCAGAGAGAAGAGAGAAGGAGGAAGAAGGAAAGACACATCACAGAGCTACCACTGGAACTGGTAGAAGACCAGCTCTCACATGTCCACACATATACACACACACACACCCCCCCTCCCAAGGTGGTTCTGACCCCACAATCACTGATCTGGTGTCTGACACCACCCCATCTCCCAGTGTGCAACACTCCAACCATGTGGGAGAACCCTGAAAACTTGAAAGGTATCAAAACTGAATAAAGGATTTGGGAGGATGGGAGCTGAGGATCATTTCTAGCACCACCCTCAGCTCGCTCTGTGGTTTTAGGCAAGTCCTCCAGATGCCTGTCTGTGACACAGGTCAAATATTTCGGGTGCTGTTCACAGATGTCAAATGAAGGATTACAGTGGTAGCACAACAAGGAACTCCAGAGTACTATTTTTGAAGTAATGACACCATTTATGAGCCCAAATCCAATTTTTAACTGTGGAGCCTCTCTGCGCCTTTGGAGCCAACCTCCACCAAGTTTCAGACACTGTCACAGAGTCACACTTGCTTCTGTCACAAGCTGCTCCTTGAGGTCACGTTCTCTCCTCACACATGCTGGGCTGTTCTCTGCCTCCAGCCTGGGATTAAACAGCTCATTCTCCACCAAGGACAATCTGGAACAAGGTGGGAGTCAATGCTCCAGTCATGCCTCTTGGGCAATGAGGGTTCATTCCCCTGGAGGTGGTGGCCTGTGAGGACTCAGAGGGCATCCAGGAGGCACCAAAGCCAGTGGTGTTCCTTTAGATTCAGTTTTCAACTACAATGGGAGCCGTGGAGCTTTGACCTGTACACAAAATTCACACTGAAACAGCTGAAGAATCACTTTGCTATACGTGTTCCCTGTCATGGAGTGCACCTCCCTTTGTTTGGGGTTGATAACTCAAAAAAACCCCAGAGATATTTTCTATAATATGGAATGAGGAGATGTTGCACTTTACTTAAAGAGAACCCACTTTTAATGAAGCAAAATTTTCATGTTCTACTTAAACAAAGCAGCACAGCCCAAGCCAAAAGGATATTTGTGCATCACACCCAGGGCCTGGCTGAGCCCTTTCCCTGTGAGCAGCACAGGCCACTTACCTGGGCAGTGCAGAAATAACTCCCCCTCAGTGCTGGACTGCTCCTGTCTCCTGTAATTACTTCTCCTCAGGGATCTCTGCCAATCTCTTCCCAGTGGACATATGGGCTCAGCAGGCAGGGACAGGCCCAAAGTGCTTTTCTTGCCCTGACGTCAGTGGGGGAAGGATGACTGAATTCAGCTCCCAGGAAAATCAAACATTACCTGACTCCTGCCCCTGTATCAGGACTGTAGTGTGGCCCAGTTATTCCTACAGCTTCTTGAGGGATCTTCAGGCTTTTGCTCTCAAATAAAAGTGTCTTTACACTTAATTAGAAGATAATGCCAGCCAGCTTCTGCTAATTATTTGTATTTTTGCTTAACACTTATAAATCTCGGTGTTCAGGTATTATTACAAGCTAATATTTGTCTTGTAACACACATTAGTCATTACAATTAGCAAGTAGAAATAGATTAGTCATGCGCAAACAATCTCATAAATGAAGTATTTATGCCCCCTTTGGGGATGGAAAGGAAGGTAATTTGAGCCCTTTATGATTATCAAGGGAAACCTGCCTTGTCTCTTCTATTCACGTGGTTGTTTCAGGATTTCTTTCTGGGCAAACTCCCTGGCTGGGGGCTCCTTTAAAGCCCAGCAGCACCACGAGAAGCTGTGGCAGGGATTTGCTGAGCACCATCAGGTGTCACCTCCCCTGAGCTGCTGGTTTGCACTGCTCACATCAGTGTCACTCCTTCCCTCCCAAAACCTCTGTAATCCATATTTCTGCTTCTCCCCGTGGCTGGAGGGAAAGTTCCCTTTCACAGCCCTGAGTGGGGATGTTTTCTTTGAGCAGTGAACAGTTTTATCCACAGATTTAAGGCTCCCTAAATCCTAAATCTCCCCCCTCCCTGTGAAAGAGAGGCTGAAGGTCCCGGGATGGGACTGAGGAGTGGGATGTCACCCTGCCCGCTGGGAATGTGGCACCTCTGGCGTGGAGCACATCAGGGAGCTCCCTGCTCAAAGCCACTCCAAGCCATGACCATGAACTTCCAGATGTATCTTCCAAGGAAAAGGTTATTGCTTTTTATTCCATTTTTCCAGAGGCTTTTCTTTGTCAATTCTACATAAAATTTCACCCTGGGTTTTGGTTTTTGGGTTTTTTTTTCAAATTTGACAAGCCACTCAAAAAACCTCACTCTTTGTGTGTGTGTGAATAAAATCTCCTAAAAAGTCACTTCAAAAATAACCAGAATAAGTCATTTTAAAATGAAAACCCTTGGTCATTTCACACCAGTAGATTTAACACCTGCATTAGTGCAGTTTCTGCACTGGTAACCTGCACTGTCCCTGCCTGTAACACCCCATTCCCACCCAGGCCTTCCTTTTTGTCTTTGCCCTCTTTCGTTTAATCTGATTTAATTTAATCTAATATTTCCCTGGAAAAATCAAGCAACTCACAGCTCTCCCTCAAGGAAACGTTTTCTCCGGCTGCAGGAGCTGCCAAGCTTCCCGAAGGAAGGTGGGAAGGAGGGAATATTTGTTGCTATGTTTAGCACCATTACAGAAATAGGTCACATATTGTTTCTGAGAGAAATGGATCAGCAGCACACAGGCCCCCACAACTCATCCTGGGCTCCCTCCACCCCCGTACACAGTGCTTGAAGCATTCCAGCATCCCTGCCAAATTCCCTCACAAATACTTTAATTCTTTACGTGCTTGTCTCGTTCCATCTGTTCCACATGCTCTTTATGCCATTTGCATTCACTGGCAGAGTCTGTGAGATGACACCACACGGTCTGAATTTGAGGAGGTTTGGGGATGGCAGGAGGGGAATGTGGAGCAGCTCAAGGTTTGGGGTTTGCTCCTCCAGCCCAGGGAAAACCGGTGTGAGGGTCTCAAGGTTCTCCCATCAGAGCAGCCACACTGTGCCTTCAGGCTCAGCAGGAGGAAAAGACTGTCCCTCACAGCATCTTGTGTAGGAGATTGTGTGCCCAAACAAACAACAAAGACAAGGGAAACGTGATGGAAAGGAGGAATAAAGGAAAGCAGCACTAGATGGGAAAGTGGTGCTCAGGGTGTGCAGTGGAACTGCCTGTGAAGCAAATGCTCTCCGTGTGATCCCTCAGCACAGGAGCACTGCACAACCCAGGCTGGTTTTGGGGTTTGGCAGTGTGGTCACCCCAGCCCACAGCCAGCTGTAAGGCTGGAATACACACAGGGGTCACGGCAAAGTCTGTTGGACATGGATCTGAGAGCAGCTTCCAGGATAAGAATAAGGAAGAACCCCCACATGGTCAGGGACACTGGCCCAACCCAAGCCCAGACGAGCTGTGTGTGCTGGGCTACAGCTCCAGCTCCTTGAACAAATTCTGTGAGAGCCTCAGGCCATGAAATCTGAATTGTGCTCCAAGGGCTGGACACCAAACCTTTTCCTCCCCCTCCATAACAGGACCTCAGATAAAAGAAATTGCACTTCAAGGGCACGGATGAATCCAACAGCCACTCAGCTAAAAAGCACCAAAAAATACATCCATTTCTCAGGCCATGATGCAATACAATTACTCTACTCCTATTAGTAAGATGTGAAAATACCTGCTAGATTTCATCAGAGGTCAGTCAACAGTTCCAACCTTCCCTTTTCCCAAAGGGAGACGACTCAGCCTGCTTACCTGGCAAGACGGATTTCTCAATCTTTCCCTCTCCATTTTTCCACATTCCTTTCCCCATCCCATTTTTCCTGCTTAGCTTGTGTGCTGCAGCCATACCCTGTTATCTCCTACCCCATCTCTCCCTTTCCTCCCTGCCTGTTATTACCACGTTGTCTTTAATGTTTCCCTGCTCCCCTTTGTTGCCAGGCTCCAGTTTTCATGTTTGATTCATACAGTTCATTGTTCCTGCTGCAAAGGGATCATCATCCAAAATAACCTGCATGTGCTGGGGCAAAAACAGGGAAGGGAAGCCTGACATTCCCTGCTCACTCTCAGTTTGAAGGCTGCCTTGGAGGGGAAGGGAATTGGGATAGTCTTTGCAGCATGGCATTGGATTTTTGATCCAGAAGGAAAAATAAGAGCTAGGTTCTCAGTTATCCAAACACTCTGTCCTTTATACCTGGGCCAAGTCAACCTGGAATAATATGTCCCGGATTCCTGATCACTTCATATCTTTCAGCAAAAAGGAGAGAAAAATCAAGACTTTGAGGTGATGGCATGGACTCACCATGGTGTGGTTGAACCTGAGAGCTCCCAGAGGGGTTAATCTGGCAGGGGAGCAGCTGAGGGACAGATTTGCAGAGGAGTGAGGCTGCTGCACCCCCTGCCCCAGAGAAGGCCCTGCTCTCCCAGGATGGTGTTGGCTCATATGCTCATGGAGAGTTTTGTTTCCTCAGCAGATGCTCACAGGAGACAAAGTGTCCCTTCCCAGCCCAGTGGGACCCCTGAAGGGAGGGGGGGATGTGAAATCTCTTCCTTCAGTAAGGTTTAACCCTCCTGGTGCTCAGGAACAATGTGCTGACCCCCCGAGCCACCTCTGCTCCCCTCTGACACAACTGGATCCCACAGATCCCCAGCCCAGGACATTCTCCTCCAGTTTAGGTACCCAAGGGCCATCCTATTAGAAAACATTCCCTTTGGATGCTGGGGTGATGTCCCCTTTTACTGCAGGAACAGGGACGTGGAGACAGCTCCCCAAGGAGGTTCAAACTCGCATCTCCCATGGAAATGACCCAAGAACTAAATTACAGGGTGCCTGTTCCGGGCTGGGTGTTCCCCACCCTCGCTTTGATGATAGTCCAGCGAGTGCAGAGTGAGAGATGCATTGGGCAAAAGAGAAGGAGAATTATTAAAGCCTAATGATTAAGGCACAGACTTATTTTGCCTTGTTTTACCACCTACTGCTTTCCCTAATGGCACGAGAGGCTCTGTGCAGAAGCGTCCCTTTGATCCACAGAACCACTGAAACTCCAGGGAATCGGCTCAGCTCAGGAATTTCCCTCACCTACGAGGTGCCACAGTTTTGTGCTACAATTGCAAGGTAATTTCCCTTCTAACCTCGTTATTCCACCTTCTAGATTTTCTTCCTTTTTTTTTTTTTTTTTTTGGTGTCTATTGTCTTTGCTAATTACAGCTTTAGCTTTACCTTCCAATGCTTCACCCTCAGCATGTGCTGCTTGAAGAACGGTGGGGAGGCAGAAATCCCATTGTCAGGGGACCCCTGGAGGGAAGAAAACCAGGAGGATGGGATACAATAAATGATCAGTAAAACCACCCAGGCAGGTATTTCCTACTGGCTCCATTTCACCAAATTCAAGCGATTCTCCATTATGAGTGATTTCCTTATTTTACATTTTGCTTTCTTTCCAGGTAGACTTGAAATTTTCAATCACAGAACCATGTGTTTTACACAGTATATATATATATATATATTTTATGGTTTCTTGTGTATTTTTGTGACCTTATATTTGGGAGTCAGCACCACTTGGGAGTGATAGCTATGAGAAATATTTCCTGTTCTACATCGAGGTTGCCAAGCACACACACAGGAAGAAAGGTGAAAAAAAGCTCCTAATACAAATGTGTCCACAAAAGCAGTTGTGTGTCCTTTGCAAAATAATTAAAAAATACTTTAAAAATAAGTATGGAATAAAATCTCTACCCAAACAGCTCACAGGTGGAATTCCACGAGCAAGGACAAGCAAGAGGAATTATCTTCATCAGTTTAGGGTGGAGTTCCACGTCTTCTGTGTTTTAGGGATAAAAAGATGTTCTAATGGGAAGGGGGGAACTGGTCAAGTGCAGAGTAAGCAGAGGAGAAACAAGAGTGGCCAGTTAAGACATGAACTTTCCAGCCCTTGGAAAACACAGTGTGTATTCATATCAAGCACCAGGCACACGGTGAATAAAATAGTTCAGAGTTGTAATCCCAGCGGGACCTGGGCCAGAGGGTGAAGGGAAGGGAACACACTGGAGCTGTGATTCAGGATGTCCTGGAATCCTTCCTGACCCGCTGGGTCGGAATTTCTGACTCGACACCCTGCCTTGCCTCTGAGTAGGAAACTGGATCCTGACTGCAGGATTCTTTTTATAGAGCAGACTTCGGTGCCAACTGCCTTCGGAGCACAAGTTTGTCCCTCCCAGTCTTCAGGCAGCACACCAATCCCGGGCTGGGAGAGCCAGGAAACGTGATCCCTGTGCCCCAAACACAGCCCAGCTCTGGCCAGAGAGCAAACAGGAGCCCAAAGCTTGGCCTAATTCCCCAGCCCAGCAAACACAAGGGGCACTGAAGGGTCTCAAAGCCACCAGCTCATCCTTGTCCTCCTCCTCCTCCCCCTGTAAACTTGGCCAGCACCAAAGGACACGGCCTGGCCCAAGGAATGCTGGCCAGGGTTGGAGGCTCCATCAGGGATTTCCCCTGTACTGCAGTGACAGGCAGGGGGTGGGAAATCACCCACTGGGACACCCCTGGATCACAAGGATTTCCACCCCATTTCTTCCCCAGCCTGTCCTGGAGGATCAGACAAGGCCCCTCTGAGCTGGTTTGGGGCACTGGGACTGATAACTTTGCCCACAGCCTGAGGTGTGTCCTGGCTTTGGTGTTGGTTACACCTCAGAAAGGCAAGGATTTGAAATCACTGTACTCCCTTTTGTATCATTTTATAATTGAAAAGCATAATTTTATCCCTTCATTTCCACTGAATGGAAAAGATCAATAATGCACTTAAAAAAACATAAATCAGGGAAGCAAAGCAGAGCCTCTCAGAACCTCTTTTGATGTGGAGACAGCACCTCCTCTTCTAGAACAACCCACATATTTAAATCAATATTGATCATTTGGCCCCATTGTATCTTATAGACAATATTAATTAATGATATTAATTAATGTCTTGGTTTCCTTCTCACTGAGGATCCTCCTCAAGTCTGTGGAGAGGGCAGAGTCAGCCCTGGCAGGTTCCAGCCCTTGGCACCCACTTTGGGTTTGAATGAAATGCAGGTATGAAGTGACTTGCCCAAGGTTATGAAAAACAAATTATAGAGGAGCAACCCAGCACAGAAACCACAAAACCCAGTGAAGCTCTTAAACCAAAAGGCCTTTTGTCTCATCCAAGGAATTTTAAAAATAACATCTCTATAAAGAGCAAAATTCCAGACAAAGGTGTATCTGACACCATATTTAACACTGTTCTACAAAGGAAATTAATTTTAAGCAGTCAGACAGAAATGTAAGTGTAAGTAGTAGGCCAGTAACAAGATGCAAAGAGAGTCTTCCCATTCCTCCTATAGAACAAAAATTCTAGAGGTCTTAGTTTGGAAAAACAGAAGCAACTCACCCAGCACCATTTGTAGCACCAGTTCCCTCCCTGGGTTTATCCCTTTTTTTCTGTGTGTAGTTCATAGTGTGAGTGCTGTGGATTTGCTCCATGAGCCCTCCTGAACCAGCTTCAGTCCTTTCAACAGAAGAAATAACATTTCAAAATTACTAAAGGAACATTTTCTATAACAACCAACATGCCCAAGCCCCTCCCATTTGTAGTAGGACTGCTCAGGTGTCATCTCAATAAAAACTATTGTTCAATAGTATCTTCAATTATTTGCCAAATCTGGCATGGAAAAACAGAATCACAGAATCCTGGGATATGCTGAGCTGGAAGGGACCCATCAGGACCATCCAGTCCAACTCCTGGCCCTGTGTATAAACTGGATGATTGTCTTCTCCTTGTTTTTCACAAATCCAACATTTTAGGGAGGAGAAGGAAATAGATTTCAACGTGGCTGAACAAATATTTCTGCTGGAAATTCCTACCAAAACACACTTTCCCTGCTGTCCATGACTTTTGTGGGGTTTCACTCTTTCTTAGGCTACATTGATTTATTTGTATGACTTTACAGGAAAAAAAAAAAAAACACAACAGAAAAATTGAAGAACCATCTAGGTGAGATTTGGGAGGTTATTTCAATTAATATTCACTGCTGGTATTTCCTTAGATTTATCCATTCTAATTAGCAGTGATTTAAAGAGAAAATCCTGCTTGTGTTGCCTCAAGGCACAAAGAAACAGCAACTGGTGCTGCTTTAACACATCCTTCCTGTACAGGGGGAGGCACCAAAAGGATTCCTTTCCACTTCATCCCCAGGGTCTCTTCCCTGTGGGATTTTTCCATGTTATCCTACACATGTGACAGAAGGGATGGGTTGGAGGGACAGTGGTAAATCCAGTGGAAGGAACAAAACATCTTTAAGGCTGCACTTGTGGGGAAATGAATCCTTCCTGCACACACAGCATGGATTTGGGTCCAAGGGCAGATTTTAGGGAGTGGGTTTGCAGAGTTATCACCTCAGAGGAGGGAAACAAGGCACAGAGCTGTGCTATCCCTCACCCAAATCCAGTTCCTCCACCAGAACACAGCTATTCCAAGAAAATGTCCTGGGTGCAGAAGAACCAGCTTGAAATGGTTTTCCCAGGATGAATCCAACTTTTGCCCAGGATTGGTTCTGCCCATCCTGGCCATTGATCCCCCATAAATCAGGGGATATTGTTCTCCCTGGCCTGTTCCATGGTGAGGAGCTCCCATGGATGGCAGGGAAGTTTCCTTGCAGAGCTGAGTGCAGAGAAGGCCCTGGAAATGTGCTCTGCAGCAGCATCTGCATTGCAGATTGGAGAGGGAATTGTGCCCCAAGTGCCAAATCTGAGCTTTGAGAGCAAAACTATTTTTGTTTTATGCCAGCACAGAACACGATCCTTTGGGTAATACACAACTGGGTGGTTTAAAAGTAAAAAGAAAAAGCCCAGTATCTGTCCTGCCATGTATCAAAGTAATTTTAAAATACTTTAAACATTATTTTTTAAAACATTTTTGATCCCACGTAAGATTGACAGTAACACAGGGCATATGTTTTTATTTACTTGCTTATTTTCAAAGAGACTTGGAAAACTCGAGCTACTGTGCAGAGACAACTTCCCACTATTGATGGGGTAAAAGCCGGCACCATTTAGGAACAAATGATAATCAACAAAGTTAGCAGAGATTTTATTTTGGTAGGAACCATGAGCAGCCAGAGCAGTACAACAACATTTCCTGGCAGCTTAGAACTAGAAGAGAACGGGATGTAAAAATTATATGCTGAAATTATTGCAAAAATTTACAGAACCACAGAATCAACGTGGTTGGAAAAGACCTCTGAGGTCATCAAGTCCCACCTTTGAAATTCAGATTCCCCCTCACTCAAATTTCGGGATAAATTTCAGATTTAACACATCTGATCAGGACATAAGGGAACATTTCATTGCATCTTTATTGCAACAGCCAGCATTGGGAAAATAAAAAGCCTCCTTTTCCTTTGCTCCTCCTCCAGACAAAGCTTGGTCCTTCTCTCCCCCTTAATGACAAACCCGACGTGCAGTTCTCTGCCATTGCAAGGCCCAGTTTAAGTGCAGGTTTAACAAACACTGATAAAGAATAGGTGTATTTACTGATACACCTGATGATGTGAAAAACAGGTACTTCTGCTTACCAGGGGAGCACAGGGCAGGCTTTGTGTTGTGTTTCAGCTGCAAATGGGTTTCTTTGGTAGAAATGTTGTAGCTGTTTGGAGTTGGCTTCGCGCCAAGTCCCCCAGACTACAGCAAAAACCTCCTCCTCCCCTTTGGGCAAAGGAAAAAAACCTATAGAAACTGAAAGACCAGAAACCAACCGAGCTATAGTAAAATATATATATTTACATATATCACAGTTATGTACAGTTACAACACTATGTACATATAAAAAGAGAACCCCAAACACCCCCCCCCCCCAAAAGGGGAAGGGGAAGGGAAAGGTAAAAGGGACAAAAACCACAAAAGAAACCCAAAGCAGGTATGCACAATCAATAAAGAACTAGCAAAAGAAAATCTTACTACTCTCCTTGAGACAGCAGAATCACTCCAAGCACTGCCAGCACCCTCCACCTCCCGAGGCCTACAAGGCCTCACTAGGCCTCACTAGGCCTCACTCCCCCACACGAGCAGGACTAACAGCAGAGAACCTGTGCCTTCAGATCCACTGGAAGAGAACAGGGAAGAGGCTTCTCTCTCCTTCTTATTTATACCCTGGCTTATGTAAAAATCGTATGGAATACTGGGAACATGGCCACTTCCTTGGTTACAAACTGGTCACCGAGGAAGGCCTTGACTAAAACTATCACAAATGTGCTTCATAGCAGTGGCTGAGAGCGAAGAGTGTAGTGATGGAGCAGGGAAACAGGCAGGGTTGACAGTGCCAGTGATTAAAACTGCTTTGGCACATAAACTACCATTTAAAATGGAATACAGTGGATATAGATAGTCTTAGCTGCACTATCAAACAACCTGAGAGGAGAGGGAGAAAGGACAGCCTGGTTTGTGTGCACAAAACTCTTCTTCCATCAGTTTGAATATGGTGATGCCCTTAACCCACATCAATGGTAAATGATATTATTCACACATCTTCAAACCCTGTGTGTGAGCAGCCAGCTCTCAACACTCACCCCCTGCCTGACCCCAACAAATCTCAATGGATTCTCATATAGGATTGTGTCAAATATATATATTTTATGGATTTTATTTTTATACAGGATTGTATAAAAATGAATTGTAACTTATCCTAGGATCCACTGAGCAAACCAGTGTACCAAGCAAAGGAGCAAACAAGAGCAGAGAACTTTTGCTCTGTATCAGTGAGGGTGCTTTGCACCATTGGGTTTATTGTTATATATGTACTTTAAGTCAATATTCCCCTCTGTTAATCCAGACCATCTCTGTTGGCTTGGATGAAATACATAATGACTTAATCTGAGATTTGATGTAACAGTAAATGAAATTTGGCCCTGCCATCAAAAGCATTGGAGGGAAGGGACATGGTCTTAATTATTGCCTGTAAACAGTCTATCAGTTGCCCTGAAAAAAAGGTTTTTACAACGTGTTCGGTGTCAAATTTCAATCCTGTAATGCCTTCTGTGTGAGGTGGCTCTTCATCACTGCTGCTGGGATTGTCCCTGTTCCACAGCCCCTGAACTGTCAATTAATGAGAGAAGCAACAAGACCCACCCACCCAGCACTGCTCTACCAGAGAAACAATTCCCTCATATCTGCTCCAGAGAACGAAAGCAGGGAAAAAAGGAACTCTTCCTGCCATACCCAGGGTGCATTTCTCCCCCCTGTCTCAATACCTTAGATCACGCTCTGCTTTCAGCAGGTTACAGCACATTTCACTCTGTCAGCAGGAGATAATTTGCAGCCCAGGTGATGGATCTCCCTGGCTGAAATGAAGCATCTCCTCGTGCTGCTTAACGAGGCTCCTGATTCTAATCACGTCCATCACGATGTGGGGCTGAAATTCGCTGGGATATTTACATGGAGGAAAACGAAGACAGGCTGAAAGGGGGAAAGAAGCTTTAAAGGTGAAGAAACGAGGTACAGGCAAACCCCTCAGACGAGGAGCCAGGAGGACTTTGGATTCCCTGCCGTTTAAACTCTTATAGTATTCTCTCTCTCAAAGATTTAGCAAAAAAAAAGAAGGGTTTGAAAGACACAAATTGAAGATTAATTGAGGTGAAATGACTTAAGGAATACTACCCACTTCCCTTCCCTTCACCCAGGAATGACAGCTGCCTCACACGAGCAGGGATTCCCAGTGAATAAGGAGGTGTGGGAGACTTCCCTTTCAGTTAACATGGATTAGTTTGCAATGGGCTCACTGTAGCCCCTCCTTACAGGGGAATATCCGTAATTTCAGAGCAAAGATAATTCTGGGAGTGTGCCCTGGGAAGCAATGACCAAATGTGCAAACCCTGATGCCTGTATTTCATAAGAAAAGCAGTCTGTGAGTGAGAATGACTAAACCTCTGCCCATGTCACCTGTATTTATACTGTGAATTAATTTAGATGCAGCATCTGGAATGCTACAAAAATACCCTTCCTGTGCAACAATCCTTAAATTCTCCACGAGCACCAATTTTCTGAAGTTGTGGGGAGTGTTGTCCTCATTTCACAAGCACAGGAATGGAAGAGCAAAACCACCCAAGGACCCCGTGGCAGTGACCAAAGTTGGATGAACTTGTTCTCTTCAGCTCAGAGAAGAGAGAATGAAGACAGAGAGATGTAAATCCTGCCTGCCGTGGAGAAAATGGGTGAAACACTATTATTTGCTGTTTCTCACATTACAAGGATTAAGGAGCCGTGGTGAAGAAATCTGATAAATTAGTTTAAAACCAGACAAAACAGGGATTTTTCTTCATAATTGAATCTGTGGAATTCATTGATGCAGGATGTTGTGGAGCCAAAAAACCACAGGAATAATCCATCTGAAATCAAAGGCAATTTAACCAACAGGAAAAAAAATTCAAAAATATTTACATCCACAGCTTCTTACCCGAAATTCATCTTAAACTTGTCCCTCCCCTTTTCTGTGTCTAAATTCTTTGAGTGGGAATGAACAAACCATCCCAGAGCTCTCCAGAAACACGGATATATTTCCAGTGTGTAGGCCTTGCACATCTGATTACAGAGATGTTCCTTCCCACTGCACTCCCAGGAACTTCATTTTCCGGAGAGGGAGGAAGACACCAAGTTCCAGGGAAGAAATGGGTCTGTAAACTCAGTGTTCTTGCTGGAGCCCAACTGATGGCTCTGTCCCCCTCAGGAGAAATCCTCCTCCCACAGCCCCTGGGAGGGAGGGAACCCCTCATGTCCAGTGCTCCAGGCAGAAGGAACTCTCCACAGCATTCCCAGCTCCCTCTGAACTTCCAACCCCCTTGTATCCTCTGATTACTGGGACCAGCAGGATTGTTGCCACGACCTACTTTCCAGGGTGTTTTCCTGCCACTCGGGGCTGAGGCTGTGACGTGGCAGGAGCTGCTCAAGTGCCACGCGAACCCCTGTCTGTAATGCAGGTGCTCAAGCACTCTACACATGCACAGCTACGACTTCCCTCAAAACAGACACCAAAAATCACATTCTCTGCTGCTGGAAGGACACCCCCAGGACACTCCAGCACACAGTTTTTGTGGCATTGTGCTCCTCAGCCTCATCAACCCTAAAGCCAGGAAAGCCAGAACAAAGCCAGCCAGGATTTCCCCCCGGCTTTATTAATTAAGCAGCTGTTCCTGTGGGATCAGCATGTGCAGGTTCTCCTCCAGAGGCAAATGTGTGCTGTGCCCTTGAAGAACAGCAAGGTGTTGGCTGTGCCAGAACAATGACAGATCTTCTGTCCTGCCCCACTCCAGGATGAACTCTGATCCTTCCCACTGTCCATGGATATCCCTTTTTATATGTAAGCTGCCTCAAACTGCCCTGGCCTCTGCAGGTCATTGTTTCAGACACCTCAAACACTCCAAGGAGTGGTGCCCTTCCCTGTGCTCCTGCCTTTGGCCATGCAGAGCAATGAAAAAGGAGAGTTTGCTCTTCTTGAGGCCGAACTTGCCCAGGAAGGTATGCTGCAGGAAAGGTGGGAGTTTCACCTTTCTGCATTGCTTTACCTCTGCTGGCCCCAGCTCTAGAATTAGAGAATCACAGAATCACTGAGGCTGGAAAAGACCTCTGAGGTCATCGAGTCTATGCCTCATGCCCACCTTGTCACCAGTCCAGAGCACTGAGTGCCACGTCCAGTCCTTCCTTGGACACCTCCAGAGATGGGGACTCCCCCACCTCCCCGGGCAGCCCCTCTCAATGTCTGACCACTCCTTCTGGGAAGAATTTCTTTCTAATGTCCAACCTAAACGTCCCCTGGCACAGCTATGTCCTCTCCTCCCATTTCTTGTTCCCAGAGCCCGACCCCCTCCCAGGCTCCCCCCTCCTGTCAGGGAGTTGCAGAGCCAGAAGGTCCCCCTTGAGCCTCCTTTTCTCCAGGGTGAGCCCCACCAGCTCCCTCAGCTACTCCTTCTGCTCCATTTCCTTCCCCAGCTCCGTTCTCTTCCCTGGCTGCGCTCCAGCCCCTCCATGTCCTTCTTGTCCTGCAGGGCCCAGAGCTGGGCACAGCACTGGAGGTGAGACCTCACCAGTGCCCAGCACAGGGGGACAATCCCCACCCTGGTCCTGCTGTCCCACTATTCCTGACCCAGGCCAGGTGCCAGTGGCCCCTTGGCCACCTGGAGATACCGTCAGTGCCTGGACACCCCCTGGATGCAGCAGCACTGCCCAGCACTGCCCGGGCTGGGCCATCGGCCGGTTCTCAACCCAGCCAGGAGTGACCCTGTCCCAGCCACGGGCTGCAGCTTCTCTGGGAGCTTCCCTTCACCAGCCACACCGTGGACAATGGATTGTGCCAAAATTCCCAGAGAAGGATTACAGGAGCCTCTTGTGACTCAGTCAAACCCCACAAATCCTCCCCAGCAGAACCCCTGGGTCCCATCACCGTGCTGCTGTGTGGGTGTGGTGCTCCAGCCACGAGCATTCCCGCTGAAATGAGCAGGGTTACAGAGGCAGAAGGAAAAGATCAGCCACGCACTGTTTTATCTGAGGGCCTGCTCTGATTGCCTGATGTAGTGAGTGGATTCTTCTCTCCACGGCCACGTCTTTATTACACATTTAGTGGGTCTGTAAGTCAAGCAGGGGCTGATCCAGCAGAGCTGTGGGGCTGATGGGTTTGAAGTGACATCCCTTCTATTTTAAGTTCCTTTTTGGTATCAGAATAGCTGAGTTTTCCCTTGTAATTGTCAGGACAGTTTTAATTACTACCTGAAGAGCTTCCACCCAGCAGCATCTCCACATTCCTGCTGCCTGGCAGGACTGTGACAGCAGGGATACACCAAGAGCACTGTCCTTTAGCCCCTGCTCTTCCCCTGTGCTTTCTCCTGCCATATTCCACAGGCAACACCACTGACATCCAGTCCCTGCAATTCCCATCCCTCCACTGCCCCCACTGTTCCCTCAGCACCAAAACAATCTCTCTGTTGCTCTTCACATGAGAATAAATCACCCCAGCATCTGTAAAAATGGCAAATGTCAAGTGGGGATGCCCAAAAACATAATTAAATGTAAATTTTAAAAAACATCATAAACTATTAAAATACTTGGTTTTGTCCACAGGCAGGAACTTTTTGTCCCTTTGTGGTTTATGTTGAATAATTGCTTAAGGAAACACAGGTTCTGTAAAACTTCAGGAATATTCTATACAACTTGTTTGAAGAGAAGGCAAAAAGTAGAGATGAACTGTACAATAAATCTCAAACATCCCGGGGTTCTGATGAAATCAAGAATTGTTATCAAGTGAAATTCATCCCTGAGTTTACACTGAGTTTTGTACCATTTAAGCACAAGAAGAGGAGATTCATCCACCCTCTGAAGGTACAACAAAACCC